CTATGGTACTATTCATCTTTCCAGCAGCTTAAAAATTTCATGCAGAGTCATTAAGTCATATAAATGATTTAGAAATTAAGTTTAATGGCAAACAATCTGGTATTACATATGCAAAGTCAATGTCTATTTTTCTTTTGTTGGGCACATACTGCAGCCTATCTCTTTCAGAGCCATTGGATGTGTGAGCTGTTGCAGGCAGGCTGCTCATATTACAGGGTAACTTATTAAAACTTATGACAGACTCGTGTGCCCTGTCTTTGGGGGTCGCATCAATTACTTTATCGCCAGCTCTTCTAGGTAACACATACATGAGTTAATCTTCATTTGATTATCATTAAACCTGTCCTTTGCTGTCAACTCTTGTCAATTATACCAAATAAAATCAAGTATTCATAAGAAGTCAGTAATAGGATATAAGCAGACCAATTTAATAATTCATTTTTACTGAGCCTTAAGTAGCATCGGTTATAGCTAGTGCTTGCTATTAAAAAATTACTAGACATAGTTCGTGTAAGACAAGTTGGCCATATTTACGATTTTTCTGCAGTTCATTTTCTCTCTTTAAATCATATTGGTTACTGTGAGCCTAGCGATGTTAGCTGCTGCTGTTGTTCAGCTGCCCAGTTATGTCCGACTCTTTGTGACCCCATGGAATGTAGCATGCTTCTCTGTCCCTGTTAACTGTACTGGAAGATAAATAGTGCGGCAGTTTCCTCTATATTTATAAAGAGTAGTGTAATTATTTAACATGAGGCATATCTTTTTTACTTTGAAGAAAAGCACGTATATTGTTTCTAGTGTTTTGGTAAGACATCTAGGAAAGGTATATAAACACAAAATGTGTGAAATTTCCCTAAGAGGCTTTAGAGAGTCTCATCTTGTCTTATTTTATGTTAGAAAGCAAACCTTTTAGAGCAGAGCCATTGGCATTGATGTCTCAAAGTATGTGTCAGACAGAATCTAGAATCCACTCCCTTTCAAGTTGTTTTTGTACTTTATGAAGTACACACACAGATGTATACAAACATACATATATTTAAGAGGAAAAAAGCAATGTTGAGAAAAAAGTTTAAGCATAAAATAATGTGTACTCCAAATTTCCTTGAACCCCTTTTTAGTTGAAACCAGTTACTCTCCTTAGAAATCTGTTGACAAATAATGCATAACAAAATTTGTTTCCCTGTGAACTTTATTGGAAACAGAGCTTACTTAAATCTGTGTATGAGGGCAGTGCTGAAAACGTGTGGGGAGCTTGGTGGCCAGTGGTTCACAGGATGAATCTGTGATGCACACCAGCCAGAAACTTCCCTGCCAGATTCTGGGGGGCAGTCAGCAAGTGGGGGCCCCACAGCCTCCGACCCGTCTGTGTGTGCAGACACTGGGCTACTCCATGCAGGAATAGTGGGAGTGGGACTCGACACAGATTGGAAAGGCTTCTGGGAAACAGACAGGATCGTCCAATGCTGGCCCGGGGCCTAAGCACAGTCTCTAGATTCCCCGCTGTGTTCCCAGGGCAGTTCCTGCGAAGCTGACCTTCAGTACAGAATCACATGCACCCCCATCGGCCTAGACGTCAGTGCATTTGTCCAGGGTTGTGGTCCCAGGCTCAGGCAGAGAACGTCCAAGCTGCTGGTCCCTGACCAACTGTGGGACCAAAGTAGGACTGTCCTAAATTGCAAGAGTTCCCCATGAGCCATACAAATTCACTGATAAAGGGTGAAAAATCTGACCAACTAAACACATTCAGGCACTATTTTTTTTTAAACCAATAAGAGGTTTATGCAGAGCCTAGAAAGCCAGGAAATACTCTGAGCAAGGATGTCAGAGGAGGGTACTGCGGGGGAGCAAGATTGCACAAAGTTGTCAGCCAGGTATTTAAAAATAAACCATTGACTAAACAACCAGCATCCACACTAAATTCCTGGTTTGTGTAATGTGGTTCAAGCTGTTAGCTAGATGAGCTGTGACGAGGCCTGTGTTCACGTACGGCACTGGGGTCTGGAGTCACATGGACCCAATGATGGCGTGGAGCTGTGCTGCTTGGTAAGACCCTGGGGCAGTTCCCCTCTGAGCCTGCACAGGGTCAGTCACCTGCCTCCTGTCTCTGGGACATCAGATGTCATGTGTGGGCCAGGACTGTCACTTAGTTGTTGTTCAGACTCAAAAGTCGTGTCTGACTCTTTGCGACCCCGTGGACTGCAGTGTGCCAGGCTCCCCTGTCCTTCACTATCTAGTAGGTGCTCAGTAAATAGTAATAGCCTTCATTTTTGATGAGAAAGAAGTTATACCCTATTATGAATACGTATATAACTCTACATTTTTTGAGGGGCCAAGTGCAGAATAGTTTCTAACTGAAAATGTAGACTCCATAACTACTGTTTCCTTAATTTGGAGTTTTATGTTAGTTCTCATCATAATCTTTGAAAGACCTACTCGGAGAGAGCCAGGCCAGAGAAGTGTGCTTGTGTTGAATCCCTCCAGTGTCCCTTACTGCTCTGCCCGCTACTTTGTCCCAGGCTTCATCCTTCCTGCCCTGGCCCACCGTTGGTATCTTTGATTCTGGCCCTTTGGCCCTTGAGGTTCAAAATTTTCTAAGGACACTTTTTTTTGGGGGGGGGGGCGCATTGCATATCTTGTGGGATCTTAGTTCCCCAGCCAGGGGTTGAACCTGGAGCCCATGGCAGTGAGAGCCCAGCATCCTAAGCCCTAGGCGACCAGAGAACGCCCATGCCCAGAAGACCTGAACACTTGATGCACGTTACCGAGGGCCTCCTCTTCCTTGAGTGTGTGTCCCAGTCACTTCCCAGCTGAGCCCTCCTCCCTGAGGGCCTCCCTTGCGGAGGTCCTTCACCCCGTTTCTGGTATAAGGCTCCAAGAGGCTGCTCCAGATGACCAGGTTTTCCTTTAGAACTTTATGGCTGGGCTACTTGTGTGGACAGTGGCATACATATTCTGTGCTTCTCCCAGCACATTTTTTTTTCTGTAATTTTATTTGATTGTCTGTCTAATTATTAAACCATAACCTTATTAAGATCAGTAGGAACTGTAGTACCTGGAATAATGCTTTCAGTATGGTGGTGTCCAGTGAATGTTGGGTACACACCTAAGACCAGTGTGGTGTATCAGCCTGTAATAATGTCAAGCAAGGCCAAGCCACATGAGTTAATTCAGAAGTTGACAGTGCTGCCTTTCTTTCCTAAGTTCTTACTGAACATTTCTAGACATTTCCTGTAAAATCTTCATTAGGTCTTCATTTACTTTTTAAAAGATGTTAGGAGGTATTTATTTCCAGACAGCATGCAAACCTTTTATTTAATGCTTCTGTTTTGCTGTAGTGATCACTATTGAAAGCTGACCTGGCATACGGCAGCCTCTTCCTCTGGATAAAAGGGAAAAGGCCATGAGATAACTTATTGATGAAGTTAGCTACTGAAGTGGAGAGGATGTGTAGTCAGCCAATAGTTGTCTTAGCTTGAGCTCTGTTAAAGGAGCATGTATGCAGTGAGCCGTTCACCAGAGCTGCACTGTGCTAAACTGCGCTGGTCAGTAGTGTAATTCTACATAAAATAGATGGATAGGAGCAAACACTGCTAGACAGGGGAAGGGGGGCTCAGAAATATAAATACGTGAAAAGTACGATGAAAAGTAGTCTCCATTTTTGCAGGTGTTCCAGTATAAATTTAGATGTCAGTTACTGTAGTGCAGTTTCAGTTATTTGCAGTTTTCCTATCCTGCAGAGAACAAATGTATGTGTAGCATTTTTGGTTTATATTTTCTATAATAATCTGAATATGTTTCTTAAACATTTTTAAAAACTTTGTACTTTTTTCTTAGGTTCACAGAACAATGAGAAGGAGGTGCAGAGGTTTCCAATATACTCCCTGCCCTCACTCATGGGTAGCTTCCCTCATTATCAGCATCCCCACCAGACGTGCCGTTTGTTACAGTTGACAGACTCACACTGGCACATCACCATCACCAAGCTTCCATTATTTGCATTAAGACTCCCTCTTGGTGTAGTACATTCTGTGGGTTTTTGCAAATGTATAATGAAACCCATCCATCGTTGTATATAGTATCATACAGAGTATTTTCACCGACCTAAAATCTTCTGTGCTCTGCCTGTTTGCCTCTACCACCACTCCATCCTGGGCAACCACTGATCTTTTCAGTGTTTCCGTAGTTTTTTCTTTTCCAGAATGTCATGTAATTGGAATCACATAGTATGCAGCCTTTTGAGATTGGTTTCTTTCACTGAGAAATAAACATTTAAAGTTCCTTCATATCTTTTCATGACTTGATAGCTCATTTCATTGTATTGCTGAATTATTCTCCATTATCCACATTTACCACAGTGATCCATTCACTCACCTAAGGACGTCTTGGTTGTTTCCAAGTTTTGGCAGTTGTGAATAAAGCTGGTATAAAATCTGCATGCAGGGTATCGTGGGACATAAGTTCCTCAGCTCTTTTGGATAAATGTCAGGGAGTGCAGTTGCTGGATTGTATGGTAAAATTATGTTTAGCTTTGTAAAAAAACACCAAACTGTCTTCTGAAGTGGCTGCACCATTTTGTATCCCCAGCAACAATGAAAGAGAGTTCATGTTGCTCTGTGTCCCCCAGCATTTGGTGCTGTCAGTGTTCTAGAGTCTGGCCGTTCTAATAGGTGTTGAGTGGTGTCTTCTTGTTGTTTTCCCTTTCCTTTCCCTTTTGTGATGTGGAGCATCTTTTCATGTGCTTATTTGCCACCTCTATGTCTAAAATAAAGTACTAATTAATAGTAAACCTCAATAGTCAAGAACACCAAACAGGAGATAATGACCTCAATAGATAATGAGCTCTGTCTTTTCAGCAAACTCATTTTGTGAGTTAAATAAGTAAAGACTTAAGGATTTTTGTTCATGGGAATCTCTAGATCTATCATTTGTGTATCACCACTGTACGATGAATTGTGGCTTTAAGGTACCCATAACTCGAGTTTTTCTTCTCTTGTTACAAGGTTCATGTTTTATTCGAACTGATCAACTAGATGGTGAAACTGACTGGAAGCTGAAAGTGGCGGTGAGCTGCACACAGAGGCTGCCCGCTCTGGGGGTGAGCATTGTTGTCATTACTCCATCAGTTACTGTATGGTCATTTCTGTGCACTTACATACCAGCTAACTTGATTAATGCATTGATAATGTAAAGAATAATTTCACTACTAAATTCATCGAAAATTATGCCCACATAATTTCTGTGATGTCTTAGCTCATACCCTGTTTGAGATGTAGTTTTGAATGTTTCTGAGCTTGGCTCAGGTTTTCCTTCTTTTCTTTCCCTTTCCTTGTTGTTTCTATTTTTAATCCTTTCATTTGAGTAATCTTTGAAACTCCTGGTGGGGGTTGGATGAGTCCATTTTTGGTAACTGACTCCCAGAAGGCTGTTAAGATGCTGTTTTGGGAGAATTTAGAGGGACAACCGCAGCCCGTCCACTTGAGCTTTTCCCTCTGAGAGTGGAGAGTCCTCCCTGGGGAGGAGGAGGTGCAGTGTCCTGTGTCTGTCAGCACGCAGGAGGAGAAAGACACCTGCAGACTTGTGGCCTGGCCTCTGCTGCCTGGGGATGGACGGGATCGAGGGCACCACGCTTGTGCGTTTCAGCATGTTCCATGGTCTCTGAAAGCCTGTCTCGCATGTGCCTAGAACCTCCGAAACTGCCCCACATCTTTTTTTTTCTTTACACAAAATCACAGTTGTGGCCTTTTGGTGGTGTTTTATGTTGTATGTGCTATTTATTTGAATGAGAGCAGCTTTATCTTAACATGATTTGCTGATATTCATTGGAGAGTAAAGAAAGACTGAGATTGTCTTAAGAAGACCTTGAAGCCAAGCAATTGTTTCAGGGAAGGGGATTGAATCCTCTGGATTTGCTCACTGTCCTGAGATGGGCTGGCTTTGATGGAAGTAGGGACGGCTGATGGTTCACAGTTAATTCTCTGAATCACCGGGAACTTCCTCATTCTTGTATGTATTGCGCTTTGGGGAAACTAAATCTGTGACATATGTCAGCCTTGGCAGTATTTTGATTCTTTAGGTATTTTCCATCACCCATACTCTGGGTAGGGCCTGCGTTGAAATTCCTTCCTTCCTTAGAGTTTGTTGGGTTTCTTGGGTCTGTGGGGTCATGGTTTTCTTCTCTTTCCGTCCTCCTTTCTGCCCAGACTCCTCTCCCTGGGACATGGGTGACAAGTGTGTTAGACTCGACATTCCTGCCCGTGTCAAGCTTCTGATGCTCACTTCCCAAGGAAGTCCCGTGTTGCTCGGCCTTTAAATTCATCAGTGTCTAGTTTTCTGTTAAGACCTTGGAGAAGGAAATGGCAACCCACTCCAGTATTCGTGCCTGGAGAATCCAAGGGGTGGAGGAGCCTGGTGGGCTGCCGTCTTTGGGGTCGCGCAAAGTTGGACACGACTGAAGCGACTTAGCAGCAGCAGCAGCAACAACAACAACTTATTTTATTCCAAATACTGTATTTTTAATCTCTGGAACCAGGTTCCATGTGGTCACCAGTTTTTGTTATTGTTTAAATCCTCTTCTCTCCTAATGTGTTCATAGTTTCATTTAACTTTTTCAGCAGTTTGTGATACTTATTTTTTGTTTGTTAATTCCATTGTCTCTGTTATTTCTGAGTATGTTTCTTTTTAAAATATTTTTCTCCTTGTCACAGGTCACACTTTCCTGCTTCCTTGCATAGCTGATAATTTTTAATTGGGTGCTGAATAATGTAAATACTATGTTTTTCTCTTACTTTGCAACCTGTTGATCTTCATTTTCTTAGTTCCATAACTTGTGGATAAACTTAACCTTTCCAAGACTTGTTTTTAAGCTTTGTTGGGGTGGCCTGGAGTCCCCTTTATCATGATGCTAATGTAACCCTACCCCAAGGCCTGCTCCTCCTTGGGGTAACCGTGGACATCCCAGGCTAGTCTGAGGTACCTCTAACTCCGGCCACTCAGACTGTCTCTCTCCTCAACACTGTGTCATCCCTGGGGCTGGGCAGGAGCGCTTCTGGTCACACTCTGCCAGCCATCACTTCCCTCGTCCTCCTCAGTCTGGAGAGGGGAGCAGACTCAGGACCAGGCCCGCTGCGGGCCCATCCTACACTCTACCTCCTTTCTGTGCCAGCACCTGCCAGTCCCCGCCCGTCCCTGGGCTCTGCCTCGCCCTGCTCAGCAGCCTGGCCCCGGGCGCAACACCTCCCTTGGGCAGGAGGCTGGCTTCCCAGGGGCTCGCAGCTGCATTCTCGTCTCCTGAGGGTCCCAGCCCTGCAACTCTACCAGAAACTCTGTGTCCTGTGTCTAAAAACAGCTGATTCACGTGTTTTGTTGATTTTGCAGTGTTTTTAAGTGGGAGGGCAAGTCTCACACCAGTTGCAATGACACAGCTTGTAGAAGTTTGATTAATTCTTAGTGAGAAAAAATAATAATAATTCTTAGTGAGAAATATGTGTCTTGTGGGCTAACTGAGCTCCGGGATATTTAAAATTAAAATTAAAATGTGGTCCATCAAGCATAAAGTTTTAATAAGTCCAGAGCAATGGGCCTTTGCTATTGGAGGGTTTGCTTTAAAGTGAAGTCACTCAGTCGTGTCCACCTCTTTGTGAGTCCATGGACTGTAGCTCACCAGGCTTCTCCATCCATGGGGTTTTCCAGGCAAGAATACTGGAGTGGGTTGCCATTTCCTTCTCCAGGAGATCTTCCCCACCCAGGGATCGAATCCAGGTCTCCTGTGTTGAAGGCAGACGCTTTACCCTCTGAGTCAACAGGGAAGGAGGGTTTGCTTACTTCAGAAACATACCTGCCAGGAGGACGGGGCATACCCTGGCCATGTCTCCTCTGTCCTGGAAGGTGCTTCACACCTTTGTTCTCAACTACACAGCTTCCTTCACAAACACGTGAGTGAAGCTGTGCACATTTTTTCTGTTAAGATAGGCGTTCAGCAGTATGTTTGGGGGTTATTGTTTTATGTTAGAAAATATGTGTCTCTGAGGGACTTTTTTAGCTGCATGGTATTTGGCAAATTATAACTTCTAGAACCAGCCTGGTATTGGTGAATGTGAAAGTTAATGTTTTTGAAATTTTATAGATAATAATAGAGTGCAGAAGTAGGCATAGTGTAGGGATTTGGTCCTTTAGCCAGAATGCTCTCTAGAAGATTACATTGACAGACCTGTTCATCTCCTGTATGTTAGTCAGTTGACCCGTCAGCCTCTTCCAGTCTGATGACTGTGAGAGTGGCATCCCATTTAAATATGCTTTTAATCTTTTTGTGAGTTTGAAGATTTCTTACCTAAGAAAGTAGATGTACTGTATTTTTTTGTTTCTGTTCATGTTGTCTATACCCATTTTCCTGTTGTGTGTTTTTAAAGAAGTTTTTATATGTAGTTGGCTAATCATTTTTCATTCTTCACTGATTTAAATATTTTTGTTTATAGTTTCTTTTGTCCATATAAAAGTTTACTATCCTTAAATAAGGTAGTTTTAAAGTAGTCTTTAAAATGGTTATTTATATAATGTGATAGAAGTGCTAATTATCATTACAATGACTTTCAAATTGACTTGTACATCTTAAATTTATACATATTATGTGTCATATATTTCAATAAAAATATTTTTAAAAATAAATAATCACTGCCTTTATTTCTTGCTTAGACTGTTTCCACTCCATGGTTATAAATGGTTACTTTAAAAATAAATAGTCACTGCCTTGTCTTTATGCTTGGACTCTCCCACTCCATGGTTATAAATGGTTACTTTAAAAATAATTATGCTTTACACATGAACCCTCCAGTCCATCTAGCATTTGTTTTGAATTGAACTCTGAGTAGAAAATCAAAAACAACTGCTGGCTGATTGCAGCTATACCATTTGCTGACTTGCTCACTATTTTAGCACAATTTTAACCTACCTTGCCCTGGTAGGTTCTGTTGTAAAGCCTCAACTTCGGTGTCTTAGTGTGCAGACTTCTCCAGACCTTTGCACATCTGTTCTCCCAGACTGTTTCCTGACTTTTCACTTTATATCTTTTTCCATATTAATGTGTAAATGTTTTAAATTCTATATAGGTAAATATTTATATGTTTTCTTTTTTGAATGTGGATTTTGTGTTGTGCCCAGAAGGCTGTTCTTCCACCCATGTTTATCTATCATTTTAACCACTGTCAGTGTTTGTCAGCGGTAGTCTCAAAGTGAGAGGCTGGTCATTAGCATTTATTGTCTTGTAATTATTAAAATATTTGCTGCACATAGACCATAGGGAAGGAGGTTCAGTCCTGTTGCTAAATCTGTGTGGCTGAAAGATGGTTTTCTGAGTGAGGTTGAGCAGGTTCTTTTCACGGCAGCCTGCAGCTGGGCTGGAGTCTTCTCAGCGCACTCTTCTCCGCTCTCTGCAGCCTCACTTAGACCCCCAGCGTTTCTGTTGGCTTTGCTCTTCCTTTTCTTACGTGTTGCACAAGAGAAAGCTGTGCTGTTGCATTGTCACTGAAGAAGACACCCAGCTTTTGGTTCTCTTACTGCTTGTTAACATGGTTAGTCTACCCTGAGACAGTTGTGAAGCCTGTTGACAGCCTAATGTCCGCTGATCCCTGGATGCCTTCCTGCTGCTGTTTCTCAGTTACCGTTTCCCTCCTCTGTGTCCTGCCTTCCATTCCTAGCACACATCCTCAAGTAGTCTCCCCGGGGTTGAAGAGGGGAGATGCCACGTGCCCCAGTGACTGGAGGTTGTGTGCTGTTACGCTTGGGGTGGTGGTCCCACCCCAGAGTGTTTGCCTCTGCATTGCCTTTCCAGGAGTTGGGAGGTGCTTGACTGACTGACACCTGGAAGCAGTTGCAGCAGAACATTGGGAGTAGAGTTAATTTGCTAGAGTGTTAAAGAAGAAGTGCAGTGTTAAGGCACTGTGTCAGAATTTTTCTGAAAGAAAAGCCAAATATGCCAGGATGTGGTATATGTTACATAGATTCCAGGAGCATGGGTCAGCTGTGACAGAGGCTGTGTGCAGAGGGGCCTGCAGAGTGCTGGTAGAAACGTCCTTACCTTGATGCTGTTGGTGTCACAGGTGTGTATTTGTACTAAGATGCAGAAAATTGTGCCCTGTAAACATGCTTTTTTTGTTGTAAAAATGTTATTGCTTGTAAGTTATGTCTTAAGAAAGTGTTTAGAATCCCACTGTGTTGCCTGTATTTTTGAAAGTTCCCTTGGCTGTGGTCACAGGAAGTACTTTCTATCACATTCAGTATTATAAGGATATTTTCTTCATTTTTATTAGTGACAGATGTATGAATTACAAAATACTTAGAAAGCTAGAGTATACAGTTCATACAGTGCTACTTTTAAAATTTTATGGTTGGTACACTTTGACAGTGTGTTAAGCATTTGGGTGAGGTAACTGGAAAATGAAAGTGTTTTAAGTTTTGATAAATTTAGCTGAATTTGTGATTCAACCACCAATTTAAATTTCTAACTTCATATAATTTGGCATATTAGGTATAGGCTTTTTTTCATAGGAAAGAAGGCTCTAATTTCATTTTGGACATAGGCAAAGCAGTTTGGTTTTTCACTTCATAGCTTACACTACCCATAACTGTCACTCATTCGACTTTTCTGTCTCTGACATAAAAGATCTGTGGAGTGTGCAGTGTCATTTGCTTTTTGTCGCATCGTCAGTGAAGCGTTGTGACATGGTGACACCAGGAATGGGTAAACCTGCGTTAGAGCACTTCCTGAAAAACTGACACCCCCAGGAACAGGCTTTCTAGTTCCATTGTGTCCAGAGCACCTAGTGTGATCAGAGAATTGAAACTTGAGTCAGAGCAGTGTTGCCGCCAGATCCCACCCTGTGATGGCAGGTTTGGCTTCTCTCCGCCGTGCGGGCACGGCTTGAAAACATGTGGGAAGCACGTTCCCGGCTTCTGTGATCAGGCAAATTTATTAACAACAATGAGGTCACAGCAATTTTCAATAAATCATGACTAGCTGATTTATTTCAAAAGATCCATATAGCAGTAAACAATACCATTTACATTTAATTAGTTTTATTGAACGAAAGGCAATTTTATTTGTAATGAACCACATGTTATGATTAAGGATGTATTTTAATGACCTTTAAGTAATGCGAACAAATGTTGCCCTTGACCTAATAGCAGAGGCTTTCCTACATTATTGAAAACTTCAGAATGATTTTTAAATTATCATGAAAAGCTTCAAATGACATTGTCATTATTGTGCCATTATTCAGTCATTTGATGTCTAATATACTAGATGAAATGCACTCCTTTCAGTGTTCTTGTGCATTCAGAAATATGGGGGCTGTTGTTAGGCAGTTCTTTATTTCCATGTATCAAAAGGTATTCTGTTATATGAAAACATCACTTTTTAAAAATTACTGTGACAGCGTAGTGCTTAAATGATGGACATGCTCACTCAGTCGTGTCCGACTCTTTGCAACCCCATGGACTAAAACCCTCCAGGCTCCTCTGTCCATGGAATTTTCCAGGCAAGAATAATAGAATGGGTTGCCATTTCCTACTCCAGGGGACCTTTCCAATCCAAGGATCGAACCCACGTCTCCTTTGTCTCCTGCATTGACAGCCAGATTCTTTATCACTGAGCCGCCTGGGAAGGCCCTCGAATGATGAGTGATCCTCAAGCTTCCTCAGACTTGCTGGGAAAGATTGAGGGCAGGAGGAGAAGGGAACAACAGAGGATGAGATGGTTGGATGGCATCACCAACTTAATAGACTTGAATTTGAGCAGACTCCAGGAGATAGTGAGGAATGGGGAATCCTAGTGTGCTGTAGTTCACGGGGTCACAAGAATCAGACATGACTTAGCGACTGAACAGCAACAACAAAAAGACTGAAGTATGCATTTAACTAAAAATGATTATGAAAAGTTAAAGTTGTATAATTTCACATTAAATTAAGAACCTTGTAATTATATAGATCCATTTAGCACACTCATTTTTGGTGCTAAAGTACATTGCACAGTTTTTGTGTGCACATATTTTTGTATGTATTTGTATACGTTCTACATGTAGTATGTCTGAATATATCATAAACTGTTCTGATATTTTATCTGTATTTTAAAGAAATAAAGTGAAAAGCCAGGATTTTTATTTTTATTTTTATTTTTCTTCTGTATTAACCATTTTTGTTCCTCACCATTCCTTCCTAAAGACCTGAGTTTTTACTGAATATCGTTTCCCGTCAACCTAGAGAACTTCTGTTAGCATTTCTTGTAGTTTATGCCTGCTAGCAGTGAGTTCATATTTTCTTTATCTCAAAATATTGTAGTTTCACCTGTTTTGTGAATGTTGAATTCACAAAATGTTGAATGTTGATACTTGCTGAATGTTGAATTCAGAGTTGACCAGTTCCCCCGCCTCCCCCTCCTCCAGTACTTTAAATATTTTGTTCCATTATGTTCTGCTTTCATTATTTGTGATGAAAAATCAATATTATTTTGATAGTTTTTTTCCCTGTATAGACTGTGTCATTTTTCTCTAGGTATTTTTGAGATTTTTCGTTATATTTGGTTTCTTATTTAGCTGTGACTTTGTGTCAGGTTTTACTCACCTGTCAGGAGGGTTTGCTGAGCTTCCTCAGTCTGCACACGTGTGACTGTCAGCCAGTCTGGCATGGTTTTGGCCTCTGTTTCTCAGAAAGCTTTTCCTGCCCTTTCTCCTGTGCACTCTTCCAGGACCTCACCTGCCGTGCTCAAGGATGCTGCGACCACACTCGCTGTCACTGTCTCGTTCCCTGTGTGTTCTTCACAGTCGCCGTCTCTTGACCTGTCTTCAGGTTCACTGACTGACTGTTCTCCGTTAAGCCTATCTAATGAGTGAATTTATTTCAGTTGTGTTTATTTTCAATTCTAGAACTTCCAGTTGGTCCTTTTTTGTAAATATGTTTTCTTTTTCTCTGTTGTGATTTCCTATTTGTTTATTCTTCATGAGAATGTTTTCCTTTAAAGATTTGGTATGTCCTAATAACTGCTTTGAAATTCTCATTTGGTCTCATTCTGATGTCTGGTCATGTCAGAATTAGTCTTCATTGATTAGATTCTCCTTGAACATGGATCTTGTATTCTCATTTCTTCCTGTGTCTGGACATTAGGATTGTATCTTCAACATACTGATACCTTGTAGAGACTCTGGATTCTATAATGTTCTGAAGAGTATTGGGTTTTTTTGTTTGGTTTGGTTTGAACTGGTGTTAACTGGACTGAAGTCAGACTCTCACCTCCGTCTTTCCTGCAGTGGAGAGCCATGGAGGTCTTTTGCTCCTTTCTTCTGGCTGAGCTGGAATCTGCCTGCACGAGGGGCTCGGGGCTCAGGCTGAGAGCATGGGGCTTGCAGCACCCAGCCTCCTGGAGCTGCCCTCTGGGGCTTCACCTCCTCTCTGGAGCTTCAGCATCTGTGATCTGACCTTTGTTCTTCACGCCTGGAAATCTGCAGTTTTCTGAGTGTTAGCAGCCATGAGGCAAAACAAAACAGAAAACAAAAGCAAAACTTAGAAGAATGGCAGACTCTGTTAAGGGATCCTCCAGATCCCCCCAGTTTTGATGCTTCTCTCAGGGAACCCCCAGGGCTTAGCACGTGCGCCTCATTGCCTTGGTCGCTACCATGAAAGGGCCCAGAGTAGTTAGCACGGAGAACAGGCACGGGGTGGCTTCGCAGGAAGACAAGTCGTGTTCAGGAACTGGTCAGGAGGCGCTCTGAATCTTCAGACTTTTCAGATAGCATTCCATAGCTCCAGCCCTACCATCCTGCCCATTTATCTCAGGCATGATCCAGGACAGGTCATCCCCTTTGGGGACAGTGGCTTCAGTAAGTAGACTGCTGCAGGAGGTGTGTGTACAGGAGGAGTCTTGAAAAGTGGCTCAGGCTCACAGTCAAGCTCATGGTCCATGGGGGCAGCACCAGGTGCTGTCTGTTTAGGAGTATCTCCCGACTGCTTCTGACACAACCTGCCATGAGGTATAGCAGTTGTCCTTAAAAGTCAAGAGATCCCCATACCTCTCTTGAGCTTAAAAGTGGTTTCTTTGGGTTCTTTTGCTTCCCGATTCATAGTACTGGCACACAACATATAAGAAAATCATCTCTTTTGGTAAATGATATATGAAAAATATTAGTTGGTAACTGAGAACTTGCCAAGTAATTTTGTTTAATTATTATGTTATTAATTCAGATATTCTATATTCCAGGACCTTTTTTCTATCAACGCTTATGTTTATGCTCAGAAGCCACAATTGGATATTCATAGTTTTGAAGGCACATTTACGAGGGTAAGTTAAATCTTTTGTTAAATTGTGTATATTCATTGTGTACGTTAAAAACATTATAGCAAACCTTTATTTTGAAGGTGTAATTAAATCAAGAATCAATTCAAACAAGCTCTGAACTTAAAAGTGAAGACCTAGAGAATATTTCAGGTTCTTAAATTTTCCTGTGTCAGATATTTCTTTGAGATACATTAAGTAGTTTTTCTGTTTTTAGCATATTTACTCTTAATAAGACCCTTCTCTCTTAAAATATTATGAGTCAGTAAAATGAAGTAATTCAGCTATTTTAGTTTTTCTTTTGGACAATATGATATCCACTTCATTTCTTGATTTTTAGTAACTGGTGGATGGATGTGTATGTATAAGTGCACATGCATTTTCTTATATACATATATGTATTTCATTCTACATTCTTTTCACTGGTGTTTTGGTATAGCTTAAAGTCCCCTCTTCCCTCAATTATTTTTGGGATTTGGTAACTTTTGGTTTTAGCAGCTTATACCAATGATATAAATGACTTATAATACTTGAGGGATTTTAATATTTACAATTGTAGTTTATTTTTACTTGCTACAATTATTTTTAAAGATTTATGGTAGGACAACCATCTTTGTCTCACTTTTGGTCACATACAAGGGTTGGTGAACAGTTGTATCATTTGAGGAAGCGTTTGCTAAGGGCATATTGTGTGTCGGGTAGTGAGCAGAGTGGGAATGTAGATATGAGGAGGAGGAGATGGGCATGACTCTATGACTTCATTTCCACAAGTGCTGCCGTAAAAGTAGCTGCAGTTTATTCCTGGCCTCACCGCCTCTCCAGAGTGCCCAGGCCAATGGTGAGAGCAGACAGCATCACCTGTCGCTAATATGCACAGCATAAAGGTGGGAGAGTTCTGAAGATTGCATTTTCCTGTGAGTGGGAACAGGTCCAAATGCACGGGTAGTGTCAGAGCCCAGACCCTGACTGCAGCCAGGCTTTTTGTTAACATGTGTGAATTACTGTAGGTTCTTAACAGTATAGTTCATTGCCTTCATTTGATGTTCCTAGCAAGGTTTTTTTTCACTCATTTTAATTATTTCAGATGTGACTTTCAGATTATTTCAGATGGAAAAACCTTTGCTTTTGTGTGCATTTTTCAAAAAGGAGGAAAGAAAAAAACCATGTTAAATGTAACTTGTTTTGTAACTGGAGCTTAGTTTACCAAAATAACAACTGAACATTTTAAAAAGTGGTATCTGCTTATATTCCTTTTTTATAGTGTAATGTATCAATACAAAGGAGAAAATATGTTTCTTTTGACTCAGCCTGTGTAGTTTAATAAGAATCAGAGATTGATTAAGGTGTCCTGTGGCAATAGACATGTTGTGTGTGTCACTGCCCGCTGCAGAGTTTAAGGCAGATGTGCATGCTGTGCTTACTATCCGTTCCCTTGAAATAGTGTCAGGGTTACCTCAGTTATGTGCTGTATGGCATTTTGTGGTATATAAATGATTCATGTTATTATTACTGATATCATTAATTTTGCTTATTGTTAAAGACATAGCTATTCTCTCTGTACTTTGGAGTTTAAAACTGTAGCCAGTTTTGAAATATTAACAGCATTTGTAGTCCTTTAACATCACATTCCCACTTAATCTTTTTTATGCTGCATTTTCTACTGTAATTTCCTTTGTAAACCATAGCACACTTACCATTGTTCGTGTCTTTTTCAATCAAAATACTCTCCTTTTAAAAAGCATATCCCTATTGTTTGTTAAATACGGTGCACTATTGAGAAAACAGCTTGAAATTGTAACATTTTGCACTCTCCCCCTCAAGGCAAATTTTATCTTTTCAAACTATATGACATTAAGAGTAAGGAAACCCAGAGAGAAAGTTGTTTAGAGATAACTTCTTTCCCATCTTCCCAGTCTGTCTTCTGTACTATATGAGATTGGTAAAGAACTATCGTTTACAGTAATTTTCTCTATATTAGAAAAATGTTTAATGTTTAAAGTCCATCATTGTTGTTACAGAATTGAAAGCAAACTGCATAGGCACTGTGTATTCTTCAGCACATAATTGTGTTAGAAACTGACAAAAGCATTCACGTGATTAAAGAGTTCTGGAAAAGTAATGGGAGAACCAACTTAAATTTTAAAGCTAAATTGTATAGAACCTTGTATTTGCAGTTCAGAAAACTTTATAACAGTGTTATATTTTACAATGCCCTTGTCTGTCTTGGCGTTTCACACAGTCGTAATGCTATATGCAAAGATATGCATGCAGTAATGGTTTTAACTTTCCATGTCAGGGGAACCACAGGGAGCGTCTGAAACTAATACAGTTGTACCCCTTGTACTTTTGTGGTCAGCTGATGGCCAGCTGTGGGCAGGTGGTCTTAAGGAGTTGCTAAAAGAAAGGAGGTGGCTTAGAGTAACAACATGCTGATGCCTCATTATTAGTTCCATCATAAGGGTTAGAAACCAGAGGAGGAGGTTCATGTTTATCTCTTCTTAGATTTATTCTCTTACTGGACAGATGTGACTGCCTGTTCTGTGCTAGGAGTTCACAACATCAAAATCAGTGCCATAGTTACATTGCTCACAGTCTGAAGGGAAACTAAACATGGGAATTGCTAGATGCAGTAAAAATAATCCAGAATTCACATTGGAGAGTAATTTTATATATTTGTCTTGTGCCTTAAATGATAACTGTGTGAATCAGCAGTCGGCAGGGTGTGTCCTAGTCTGCACTTAGTTTTCCAGGCCATGGCTAAAGTGCCTGCACTGGCCTGCAGTTAAAGGATGTGCCATGTAAACTGTGTGTAGGAGGTAGGCAGGAGGGTATCACACTTTTTCTGACTCTCCATCAGTGTTAAGATTCTAAGACCATCTCTGTGAATGAATCAGAAGTTGATCTGTTCAGTCAAAAATTTAAGTACGAAATAGTTACTGTGTAAAGGCCGCCTCCTTCTCTCTTTCAAGAGTTGATACTAGCAGTTTTTTTGTGAGCTGTGGGATTTTCTGTATATATGATCATAGCATCAACAAACAGATAATTTTATATCTTCCTTTCTAAATTGTACCTTCTATTTCTTGTACAGTTATTCTGGCTGAAACTTCGGGTGTTCTGTCAGTTAGTTGTGGTGAAAGCGGGTGTTCTGATCTCAGAGGAAAGGTTTTAGTATTTCACCGTTTTATATGTTACACATGGTGGGTTTTTCATAATGGCTTTTTTTTTTTTCTTCGCTCTGTATAATGGGCTCCAGTTTCATCCATCTCATTAGAACTGATTCAAATGAATTCTTTTTAATGGCTGAGTAATATTCCATGGTGTATATGTATCACAGCTTCCTCATCCATTCGTCTGCTGATGGGCATCTGGGTTGCTTCCCATAATGGCTTTTAATATAAGGAGGTAGTTCCCTTCTATTCCTAGTTTGTTGAATGTTTTCTGTCAAGAAAAGGCTTTGAATTTTGGCAAATGCATTTTCTGCATCAATTGAGGTGATCATGTGGGGTATTTTTTCCTTCATTCTGTTATTGTGATATATTTTGTTGATTGATTTGCATGTTGAATCATGCTTGTATTTCAGGAATAAATCTCACTTGGTCATGGAGTATAATCCTTTAATTTGCTGCTTAATTTGGTTTTCTGATGTTTTGTGTAGGATATTTGTATCATTGTTCATAGAAGATATTGATATGTAGTTTACTTTTCTAGGTAGTCTCTTTGTCTGGCTTTGATATCAGGGTTGTCCTTCCTTCAGTTTTATCAGTTGTTGTTTCATACATTGTCTTTCATTAGGAACATGCATGCGTGCTAAGTCGCTTCAGTCGTGTCCGACTCTCTGTGACCCCATGGACTGGAACCAGCCAGGTTCCTCTGTCCATGGATTCTCCAGGCAAGAAGACTGGAGTGGGTTGCCATGCCCTCCTCCAGGGGATCTTCCTGACCCAGGGATTGGACCTTCTTTCAAATTAGTTACATCCAATGGCTCTTATGTCTCCTGCATTGGCAGGCGGGTTCTTTACCACTGCACCCACATGGAAAGGCCCATTAGGAGCATAATTGTTTTTAATTATCATCTTTTTGCCTTATTTAATTAATACATAATGTCTCTTGTGATCCTTCTGTCTGCTCAAACTACCTTGAATCCCTTTAGTGATTTTTTCATTTTGATCATAATACTTTTCAGCTCATGAATTTCTTTTGGTTTCTCTTTGGATTTTCTGTCTCTTCATTCACATTTCTGCTTTGTTTATACTTTGTTTTCTTGACTTTCTCCATATCTTTGTCTTTAAACATCTTTAATACTTTTCTTTTAGTCTTTGTCTAGTATATCTGCCATCAGGTCTTTTTCAGGGATAGTTCCTGTTGATTTATATTTTTCCTTTGAATGGAGCATACTTTTCTGTTTCTTTTATGCCTTGTTACTTTTTGCTGTTCAACAAGCATTTGAATATAATGATGTGGTAACCCTGGAAGTTAAAATCAGGGTTTGCTGGGTTTCTGTGTTTGCTTTTGTTTGTTGTTGTTTGATTGTCAGCTCAGCCTGAGGCGTAAACTTGATATCTTCTTGTGTCTTTTCTGAGCCTTTTCTTGGGCATGTGCCATTGTTTTCTGTTTTTTTCCTGTATATGCAGTTGGTTTTGAATGTCCTGGTCTTTAATATCTGGCTCCCAAAAGGGGAAAAAGAGAAAAATGGTAGGGGTTAAAAGATCACTGGTCCTTGAAGTCCCCTGGAGATCACTTCTCTGGGTGGGGAAGGGGTAGCAGCAGTGGCCACCTACCTTGTTAGCTGCATCTCTGCCAACCAGTGCGGCATCGGAGCACAGATTCCCAGTCCTGAAGCATAGGGTCCTTTTGTCCACCCTGGCTCCCACAGGCGGCTCCAGAAACATGTGTGACCTCTGGAACTTGCCACCCTTCCCCAGCTCCGGATTCCAAATTAGTTACATCAGATGGATTCTGTCCCTGAGGTTGTTGTCCAGGTGGGGAGTGTTTTCCTGGTGCTTCCTGCTCCACCGTCATCCCAGAAGCATGTGTAAATTCCTGTCTTTTTGCCTATTTTTCACTGCTTTTTCTCTGCTTGTTAGTTGAATGCAACTGGTGGGCTTGTTTTAACACTGTGGATATCTGAGGTATGAGTAATAAAAAAGTTGCTAATTTGCATTTTTCTTTCTTTTCTCTCCCTGAATAGGAAGACAGTGATCCACCTGTTCATGAAAGTCTCAGCATAGAAAATACATTGTGGGCAAGCACTGTGGTTGCATCAGGTGAGAAAGGAATTGTGGTTTTAGTGTTGAGTTCGCACATGTAGGAGATGCTTTGTGTGTTTAGGTGACTCCAGACAAGCATGTGTCAGAGTGCTTTCATCACAGGGGGACCTCATGGGCCTGGCCTGACAGTCTGCCTCTCAGACGAGCCCAGAGCAAGGCCCCTGTAAGGTCCTCACACTTTGAGGAGAAACTGAGCTGCATGGAGGCTGCTCCTTTGTAGGGAGACAGTTCTGACACCTGTTTCATGACAGACTTGTCACTGTGCCTTCAAGAAGGTGGTGCAGCAGAACTGGTGAGGGGGTAGGGGGCAGCTGGTGAGTTTAGAGGGATCTTACACTGCTCATCCATCTAACAGAACGCAAGGGGGTCGATGTGGTGGGTTGTCTGTGGGGGAATTGTTAGATGAGGCAGGGGCCTGACGAGGTGGATCTGATTAGCCCTTTAGGGGCCAGGGTGCAGGTTCTTTCATGTGAAATTGGAGCATGTTGGTTTATTTTTAGGGCTTCCCTGGGCGCTAGCAGTGAAAATCAACCTTCCAGTGCAGGAGATGCAAGAGATGTGGGTTCAGTCCCTGGGTCAGGGAAGATCCCCTGGAGGAGGAAATGGCAACCCATTCCAATGTTTTTGCTAGTTGTCAAACAGGGAGGCATATACATGTGCATTTCATCAAGTGGACTTCTCTGAGAGGTGAGACACTCTTAAGGGCTTCCCCTTTCAGAAGGTGGTTGACCCTGTGGATAGTACCAGGAGGCAGCAGCTGGGAGCGTCAGGGTGCTAGCAGGGAGGATGCAGGACTGTCTGTCCTGGCGTCTGTCGCCAGTGCAGCCCCCCTGACCCCTGCCCTGGGGCTTTGTGTGGGGTCTCTGCTCCAGACCAGTGTGCCAGAGTCCTTATGGATCCTGTCCTTCAGGAGCTCATGGTGAGAAAGACAGTAAGGAAATGAGACAAAGGCAGTTCCCTAGCAGTTCAGTGGTTAGGTGGAGAAGGAAATGGCACCCCACTCCAGTACTCTTGCCTGGAAAATCCCATGGATGGAGGAGCCTGGTAGGCTGCAGTACATGGGGTTGCTGAGGGTTAGATTCGACTGAGCAATTTCACTTTCACTTTTCCCTTTCATGCACTGGAGAAGGAAATGGCACCCCACTCTAGTATTCTTGCCTGGAGAATCCCAGGGACAGAGGAGCCTGGTGGGCTGCCGTCTGTGGGGTCGCACAGAGTCGGACACGACTGAAGCGACTTAGCAGCAGCAGCAGCCAGTGATTAGGACTCAGTGCTTTCACTTCTGGGGCCCAGGTTCGATCCCTGGTTGGGGAACGTAAGATCTTGCAATCTGCACGGTGCAGCTGAAGCAAAAGGAAAAGAAAGAAAATGAGACAAATCATCTGAGCTTTGCTGAGTGTCTCAGAAGAGTGCAGGGTGCCCTGAAAACAAACAAGTAAAAAGCGCACCTGTCAGGGTCCGGAAGGCTTCTCTGTGGAAGGTACAGATGAACTAGATTTAAAAACAGACAGATGCGCCCAAAGGAGAGGATGCAGCGAGAACCTGGAGCCTGACCACTCAGCGCTGACCACCAGGCAGAGGCCTCGTGCCGAGGGCACTGCAGGCTGAAGACACTGGTTCAGGCCTGGGTGCCCAGCACGCAGAGCAGGCTGTTCTCTGTGTGTCTGAACGCACGCGTGTGCACACAGGTGACAGGCTGCTCCTGCAGGAGAACACCTGTCCCTTTAGAGGGGAGGGGAGGAAGTGTGATAGCAGACAACTCTTCAGGTATTACTTTTTGTCATGAGGAGTTCCTAGTGAAAAGAGAGAGGAAGTAAGGATTGCACATGGTGAGAGACCTCAGAGGTGCCTCCTGAGTCCCAGGTGCTGGGCTATGCTCAGATGTCACCGCCATCAGCAGGGTCACATCCCCAGGCTGTGTGCTGCTGGGCTAGGCATGGAGTCCAGGCCTTCACCTTCAGCACTTAGCATGTCATAGTCTGTGGGAAACTCCACAGCATCCACAATTAGGTACCTGGTCACAGATTTTGCGTTTCCTGCATCTAGGTGTTGTGTACAATTTTTTTTCATTATATTGATATGTATTCTTATAAAGGATCAAGATTGGGTTTACTCATAAAGATATTTGAAGATTCTCTTTCTTTATAAATCCATTTCATCTTTGTTCCTGCATGTTAGACTGTTCGACTGGTCCGCAGTCCTAGCGACTTGTGTGCTTCTCAAAGAACTGGGCTTGTGGGCCTCAGATAATTCCTTGTGCACACCGTTTCTCTCCTGACCTTCAGTCTCAGCATGACCTTGGCAGGTGGTGTAGCTCCCAGTTGTGAACCGTGCCATTGAAGACACAGACTTAGGCATCATAACGCAATTACTGCATAGGTAACCCTTTCTTATTAAGGTACAGAATACAGTTGCTGGAGTATTTTATCTTCTGAGAGACTGTTTAGGTTGTTTAAAACCATCCATTCCAAAAGTTTAAATAAAGTACATTTAATTTTAATTTCTGTTTAGGCATTTTTAAAATGCAAACTTTTTTCATGAATTTGAAATCTTTTAACGCATACTTAACTATTTAAAGACGTTATTGATGTGAATAATTTTTATATTCCCTCACTCCCATGCACTGAAGTATGCTTAAAATACTTTGGACTTCCAGAAGTACTATAAGAACTCTTGTCTTCTTTCACTTGATTACAAATTGAGAAAGAAAGACCAGAATTTTTTAAAATCGTATTCTTCAAAAGTTACGTGTCACTACGATACATAAAGTGGTGACTAGTGAGGACCTGCTGTGTAGCGCAGGGGATGCTGCTCAGTACTCTGTCATGGCTTGTACAGGAAAAGAGTCTAAAAAAGTAGCTAGGTTTTATTTTATTATTTATCATTTTGTTTTATTTATTAATATATGTATAACAGATTCACTTGGCTGTGCACTTGAAACTAACCCTAACATTGTAAATCATCTATACCCCAATAAAAATTTAAAAAGTGTCAATTGAGTTCAAGTTGCTTCCTGGTAGAAGCAACTCAGGTCTTCCTTCCTTGTAGGAACTGAACATCTGGGAGCAAGGACTAAAGTTGACAGACAGACCCAAGGACTGAGGGCACCAGAGAGGGACAAATGGACTTCCTAGGGGGCCATGTTCCTTCCCCTTGTTGGTTCAGAGAGCCAGGAACCCGCCATATTTCAGTGACAGGTGGATGTGAGCATGCAATCATAAGCATCTGAGCCTGGAAGCAAGAATGAGTCTTCAAGAGCAGGACCGCTGGACTTGGGTGCCAGATGGGGTCCAGCTGAGCCCCAGAGCAGGACCGCTGGGTGTGTGTGCCAGACGGGGTCCAGGCTGAGCCCCAGAGCAGGACCGCTGGGCGTGTGTGCCCAAACAGGGTTCAGGCTGAGCCCCAGAGCAGGACCGCTGGGTGTGTGTGCCCAAACAGGGTCCAGGCTGAGCCCCAGAGCAGGACCGCTGGGTGTGTGTGCCCAGACGGGTTCAGGGGGAGTCCCAGAGCAGGACTGCTGGGTGTGTGTGCCAGATGGGATCTAGGCTGAGCCCCAGAGCAGGACCACTGGCTGGGCGTATGAGCCCAAACAGGGTCCAGGCTGAGGCCCAGAGCAGGACCGCTGGGCGTGTATGCCAGACGGGGTCCAGGCTGAGCCCCAGAGCAGGACCACTGGGTGTGTGTGCCCAGACGGGGTCCAGGGGAGTCCCAGAGCAGGACTGCTGGGCGTGTGGGCCAGACAGGGTCCAGGCTGATACTGATAGTGATCAATACAGAAAGTGAGAGTAAATATTTGAAAACTTATATAAGAATTTAATGAAGTGATTTAATGTTAAGAAAATTGGGACATATATTGTCTCAAAAATTTTTGTTTCGATAATTTATTGATGTGGTATTTTACAAAATTAGTCCTCATGACCACTTAGAAATTTAAAAATAGAACCTGTACCATGTAGTTTGCAATGCTCTTGCTCTGGAGAAAGTTTAGTATCAGAGGTCAGACAGCAGGCGAACCCCTTCCCCTCGGGTGTCCCTAGAGACTGGACCGGAGAGCACGGACAGAAAAGCAGGATGGAGTTCGAGAGGCAGGAACTGGGGGCAGAGAACAGGTACCAGCCTGCAGCTCATGATTCAGACTTTGGGCTCGAGGGGTGTTGTTGCGGGCTGGCTCCCCCTCACCTCCTGTGGTTTTGCTCCTCCCCTGATGTGCCCATTGGTGGAGCCCAGACTCCGTTCAGGTCTCACTGGTCACTCTCTGTGTCTGCCGTTGGCAGAGTGGGAGCCCATAGTCACACAGGGCTCAAGACCACAGTAAATGCAGACCTCCCAGCTTTGCCAGGGGCTTTCAGTTAAAAAGGGAACAAAGGCATGCTGCTTCTAAGAAGGGGCAGTCATGACCTTGGCGGATATCACGCTGAGTGACACGCTGGCATCTTCTGCCTTTCCGGGGTTCCATGGAGGGATGAGTGACAGCAGCTGTCCTGCTCTCATGGACCCGAGATTGCCACTGCCGTATCTGCCCTGCAGGTCCTGCCTCAGCGCCACAGATTCCACTCGCTACAGTAACGAGACAGAAGAGGCTTGTATAATTACATGGTTAGTTGTACAGTGGTTGACTTCAGTCAGTAGTATAGACACTGTCTTTCTCACCTCAGTTATATTTCTCACCTTCAAATTTGGTGAAAAGTTAGAAGTATAAATTACTCATAGCAGCAGTTCAAGAAACATACTTCCATGTTTTTGTTTTTTGGTAATCCTTTTTGGCTGCCTAATTTTAGCCCACGGGATTTTCCTTGCATTTTGGGGGAAATCCCCCAGAGAAGGGAAAGGTTACCCACTCCAGCATTCTGGCCTGGAGAATTCCATGGACTGTATCATCTGTGGGGTCGCAGAGTCGGACACGACTGCGTGACTTTGACTCATGCTCTGTGATTGACCTGCAGCATGTGAGATCTTAGTTTCCCGAGCAGGGACTGAACCCGTGTGCCCTGCCCTGCACGGCAGATTCTCAACCCCTGGACCACCAGGGACATCCCCATGGTTTTTAAGTTGGTATTTCAGAAATGAGTACCTCTGATCTGAGCCTTTGTAATCTATAGGTCATTCTTGGGGTATTTTATTTTTCTTTTATCTTAAGTTTGATAGAGCACAAAGTTAACAATTTCTTTCTGACATGTATGATTAGAAAACAAAACTTTCAGGAGATGTGAGTAAAAGAGACATACAGATTTCAAAGCAAATACTGTCTTTATAATATTTCTCTTACTGTTTTCATTGTCTGCGTGCTGAAATGTCCACAAAGTTTCTTGTACCTGGTTGTCCTGAATCTTTACAGTGGAAAGATGCTCTCAGACTCCTGTTCAGAGGAAATGGCTCACCTGGTACCATGTCGTTTGTGGTCACAAGTTTGATCAGTTTAATGTAGGCTCTCTCAGTGTAACTTCATTGTTCAAGGTACCATTTTAGTAGGCATTAGTGAATGAGCAACTTCTGTTGTCACACTTTGTGTTGTTACCAAAGAGAGGATTAGTGCATTTTCATTGCATGAGAAATCAGTTGAGTTTTTCAAAGTCTGTTTTTAAAGTTAAGATTAGATTTTATTGAGTTACCAAAGTTAAATATGCTATTAGATAAATATGTATAGAATCAAATGGTACATTAATATTTTACTAGGAGGTGCTACCTCTGCTTAACATTCATGTTTCTCTGTAAGGGCCACTTCTGTGTTTTGCAGGTACTGTAATAGGTGTGGTCATCTATACTGGAAAAGAGACTAGAAGTGTCATGAATACATCAAATCCAAAAAACAAGGTAGGTTAGATGGAGCACTGACTGCTTTCATGAGCAGCCTCTGCTTTCCCTGGGAGAGGACAAGCGGTTCCAGGCAGCTCGGTCGTGTTAGCTTCATGCATGTCATAGGAGCAGAGCTTCCTGTGTTGGTGGTCTGGGGCATGGATTCTCTGTGTAACAGCAAGCCTGTCTGGAAGAATTTTCAGAACTACTTTTCTTTGCTTAATCAAGAGTTTTATATGTCTCTTAAATTTTCATTGTTGTATATATAATTTGCCCATAATTTAACAGTTAATTATGGGTCTTTTAATTTCTCCTCAATCTATTTATAATTTGCACTCTATTTTTATGTTGATGGTTCACTTTTAAAATGAATCTGTATTAATGTTTTTATGGTATTTAACTTGATAGTGTATTGTTAAAGTAGTTTTAAGTTATTTCCGTTTCAGAAGAAGTATGTTGAAAATTAGATTTTAGTTTTAAAGACTGCTAGATTATATTCCTAAAATTATATTTCTGTTATAGTCCTAAAATTGTTATTTATGTAGTCATTGTATAAGTTAAATCATAACAAAAAATTAGTTTGAATTCTCAGTAGTTGTTATTTAAGTAACATGTTTTGTATCAAGTCATAGTATGTGTTAATATCTGCTCAATGACAAGCTCTTTCTTACTGCATTTTACTCATTGTTCTTTGAAATACAACTTCTCTGTATCTGAGTAGAACAAGAAGTCCTCTCGTGGAGCCATGCCTGCTTTGTGAGTAATTAACAGAAGAGCTTGTCTTCTGTAGGAAATTTTATAACCAAGTGATAGAAATGAAATCATTCTTTGAGGAAATACCTTTTAGGACAGGATGTGTCTCATTTTTTCAGCTAAATACTATTTTAAAAAATAGTTAACCTTCAGAGGCCAGCAAAGCGTCCCTGATTCTCTGAGTGGCTGGCCCGTCCGCAGAGCTGCTGACTGACGATGATGGAGGGCGGGAGTTGCCAGTGAGGTCGGTGGCGCTTACATCTCTGTGTCTGTTAGGGCTCCAGGTGTCTGCCTGGCACATGTTTACAGAACTCAAAAAAAAAGGTTGTGCTGCTGTTGTTTTAGTAGAAATTCTGATTTTGATAATGGGGAGAAATAAATCTCTGTCGATTTATATAAGCAAAGTTTTATAAACTTTGCCTTAATTTGAGCAAATCAGATATATCTGTCAGTAATTCTGCAATAGAGTTAAATTATTTAAAAATAAATTATTATACTAATGACAGGAGTTAGCATCACATACATAGTTATGTGTGTTTTCCGGGTAGTATGGTGTTTTTCTTTTCTTCAGTAGGCGAATCTAGGATGTCTAATAATGCATGTATGATTTCTAGGGTTTTTTCCTCAATCATTTTGCTTTTACATTTATTATGCTTATTGAGGATAAATTTAGTTTTAAATATTAACTTTAAAGCCTTGAAACGCTTTAATACAGCTTTCTAATTCTCCCTTACCCCTCAGTGCAGCTCACCTCTGTCACTCACTGCCTGCCCTCGGTCACTTCTTTTCTCAGGTCACCTTTGGTGTTGGCTCAGTGAGCTGTTCCCTTGGGTGCCAGTGTCCTTTGCTGGGTTTATGATGCAGCTAAGACCCTGGAGGCTGGCCAGCCTGGGCTAGACTCTGGGTGTTGCCTCTGACCCGCTCTTTGCCTCTGGGCACTCGGTAGACGTTGCCTCTCCTTATTACCTTTCTGTGAGGTGAAATGTTAAGTCAAAATGAGTGCCCAAGCCCCGCTGCCAGTCAGGACACGCCTCCAACAGCTCCCGCCCCATCAGGCCTCGTGTCTGCCCTCCCCCCTCCTCTGCGTCCTCCCCTCTCCTCCTCCTCCTGGTTTTATACAGTCTTCTCAGTGTCCTTGGGGTTAGGAAAAGCATCTTGGGTGTTCTGCAGGATTGGACTCGGACCCTTGCTCAGGCACTTGTTGGCCTTACACGGGGAGCAGACGTGTCCCTTCTGTGGCCGCACCTTACCCAGGGCTTGGCTAGCGTTTGCTGCAGCCCTTCTCGGGGGGGCCCTCGTGATGCTCCCAGCTGCTCACAGGCTGTGCATGTGGTGTCAGGAGCCTGCACAGTGGCCCCCAAGCAGACAGAGCCAACGGGCTGCAGCGTGGGACCTGCCTTGTCCGCGCGGGGCTGCTTCTCCCAAAAGACACTCTGGGTGGTGGAGCACCAGCTTGACATGGAAACAGTTTTATAAATCAAGGAATCATCTTAGGAGAGAAATAAAATCTCTCAATGTGCATAGGTCATTAAATCTTTCTAAGTGTTAAATGCTAGATTTATAAGAATAAAATTCAGGAAAATGTTATAAGCATGCTATAGTGGGCAAAAATTAGCTGATGTGATTTATTTAGGGTGAGTTGATGTGTGTTGAATGAAAAGAATGTGTAGTGTTTAGATCTTAAACAGAGAAACACTTCGGCTTTCATCAGACTTCTTCAGGGAAGCCACACTTTTCCTAACCATCCACTCTGAGAGCTGCCCTATGAGTGAGTGTCTGTGGGGACATTGAGGGATGGAGTGTCAGGTGGAAGGGCACACACCAGACGTTTCCTCTCTGCTTGTGTACACGTCTGACGCGTGGGCAGGCACTCTGCTTGGCATGGCCCCTCATGGGCCTGTCCTGGAAACACACCTCGAAAACCATGGGGATAAGAAGCTGACATAGCAGGTTGCACACTCCCTCCTGTCTGGCCGGTCAGCAGTGCAGCCGTGTTCCCTTGGCCCGAGCACTGGAGTGACCAGGGGCCCTACGGTCTGCCCCAGCCTCGGGAGAGGGAGAATTGGGGATGTTTAATGACACGCACTGCTGCCCACCCGCAGTGTGGTTACAGCGAGCTTCCAGGCCTTTCACACAGAGCTGGAAACAGAAGTAAGGAACCTCACAGAGCCTGCAGGTGCCAGTCCTGAAGGGCTGAGGCAGAGGAGAGGAGAGGAAGGCGTTTCTGGAGCTCAGGCAGGCCGCAGCAGGTCAGTGCTCTGGACGCCCTGGGGATGAGAAGCTGAAGGGCCAGCAGGTGAAGGAGCGGGGAGTGAGCATCCTGCACAGACCTGTCCGGGTGCGGGGCGGCCGGGAGCACCCTGACTCGGGACGCTCGGCCGAGATGAGCGGGGAAGACTGGGCAGGCTTCTAGGCAGGGCCCAAGGCACCGGAGGAGCCGTGGGGGTGAAAACTGAGCGGTGCCTCCCTGGGGAAAAGATTGTGTTGATTTTGTTTCTGGTGAGAAAATATCACAGAACTATTAATGCTTCCAATAAAAGAAGAGAGAGTCTTCGTTTATACAGAGGAAGAATAAGTTTTGTAGGCATGTGATTATACACAGAATTTCTTAATGAGAAATTATATACTGTAATATGGAGAACAGTTACCATCTAAAATATGGCCTGGCTTCTTTGATTTTGTAAAAAATATTTACACTCACAGACACAGAAAACAAAGTTATGGTTACAAAAAGGGAATGAGGGGGGTGAGGGATAAAAGAGGAGGTTGGCATTAACATACACACACCACTATATGTCACCAACAGGGACCTACCATATAGCACAGGGAACTCCATTCAGTATTGTGTAAGAACCTTACTTTGTAAGAACCCGAAAAAGACTACATATATAGATGTGTAACTCAATCACCATGCTGAAGATCTAGTCTAACACAGCACTGTAAATCAGCTGTACCTCAGTAAAAAATGATAATCAAAAGATTCACAGTCATCAACTAATCAGCCAGTATCTCCCTGCTCTTACCCCCCCGCCATTACTCCATATTTCATTTGTTTCCTACCTCCATTATCGTGAATGCAGAAGGGTCATGTAAATTTTTAACTGCTCTGAGTTCCTAGGATGAAAACCACTACAGTTAAAGCACTGTTAGGGGAAAGTTAGGGATGATAATTGATGTAGTGAAATTGATGCATAACAGGATAAGAGTTTGAGACAGTTCCTAAAAGCATTGAGATTATAGCTCAACCATTCAGGCACCTAAATTACTGAGACCCAGCTGCGTCTTAGAGTTCTGGTGGAGCTAGTAGCAAGTATGTGGTCTTCTCAGGCTGATGGTCAAGAGCCCCAGAGCAGAAGTGGAGAATGGTCTGGTCCACAGTTTCAGGTTGTCAGGTGGGAGCACCTGAGGAATAGAGGGGTGACAGCTTCCCGCATCAGAGACAGTAGCTGCCTACTGACCCCAGCAGGCAGAGAGGTCAGTGCCCCGCCACCCTGTGGGTTACGACGCTGTACATCATCACTCAGTACCCACGCCCACTCACAAGGCCCTCCTTCTCAGGCTTCTGCGCACGGCATATGTGTCCATCTTTGGGAGCCCTGAGCCTTCTGGCAGTACCCCCAGGCACTCTCTGTAGCCCTCGGAATGTGAGGATCACTTCCCCTTTGAGGCTGGGCTTCTTGTGGACCACCCTGTGTGCTGTGTAAAATATCCTCCTAGATGCGTGTTAGATCATTTGACCATTTAGTACTGGTTACTTCATAAAATCTACTTTAAAAGTTACATAGTCAGCTAGCATCCAAAGCCTCGTGGGAGCCACTCTCCTTTTTGTCTTCATTTTGTCTGTTTTGTTCTCCAGCTGCTTTTTTAAAGGCAACTTCAGACAGCAGAGGAGGAGAGGAGTGCAGTCACCCATGGACCTGAACTAGGTTTCACACATGTGCCCACCAGGTTCATTGCTCTGTGGCAGCGGATGTTTTATCCCAAGGATGTCCTTTTATACAGCAGGGAGCCTGGCGCCTTCCGGGGCTCAGCCTCCTGCCCCGTGACCCGCACCCCTAGGTTAAGTGGCCCTGGGTTGGTGATAGCAGCTTCCCATCCAGGCACTGATTCAGCTGAAGTCCCCCCGACCCCCAGACTTCCCCAGTCCAAACCTCTGGGGTCTCTGACACTCCAGAGACGGAGAGCCACTGCCCCTGAGTGGACGCCACAGTCGGATAAATGAGGATCCTGCGTAGATTTATTGGCTGTAACTGAATTCCGTGACT